AGGGTTTAGGACACGTGTTTTAAACTTAGTCACCACAAGCCAAAATTGATTTTTTGACCATCAGGAGAAGCGAGTTGCATGCCCGTTCTCTTGTCAAGAAGCACCGTGTCCTTATGACATGTTCCCGACAGGTGACGCCTGTTATACTCCGTGGGAAGTCTGTTGTCCGCCTACGGTAAGGTTTCTATAAACGTCCGATTGCATAAAAAACAAGCTTTAGTGGTCAAATCGGTTTAAAGCGAGGTTCGACTGAGTCCCGTACAACCAAACTAGAGCCATCACTTTAGCCAATCAGGACAATGGAAGAGATCCAAAAGAACCATGAGAGCTCACAAGGATTTTTTTCCGTGCAGTTAGGTTGCACGAGCCTCAAAGACCAATTACAAAAATCCAAACAAAATCATTAGCCAGTCATAAAAAATGGAACATATGAAAAGGAACTATTGTAAAATCAAAACAACGACAAACGCAGCGGGAAGCGGGTATAAGCGGGTATAAGCGAGTGGTCTAATCGCTTTTAGTTTGAGATATTTAGTCATCGATAGCTTCGTTTTACAAGTTACGTTTATGTTACCTGACTCCCATCTTTCATTTTGTTTTCACAGTGAGAAGTCATTTCCCCCCCCCCCCCCCCCCCCCCCCCCCCCCCCCCCCCCCCCCCCCCCCCCCCCCACACCACAGGCGTAGAGAGGTCAAATATGTTCAAAATTTGTCTAGGTCCATAACAGTATAAATAACAACGAGGCTGATATCAAGCCATCTTGACCGAACAAACATGGCCACTATCTCAAAAATTGGCAGTCGATGACTGCATGTAGCTTACTGCACCTGTTATTACTAGTATTAGTATTTGTAGTATTATTATATATAGTATTATATAGTATTTAACCGCCCTGAAACGACACTAGAAATTACTCACAACTTAAGATATAGTGCCACCAAAAATGCAAGCTCCGCGATGAACGAAACAAATATATTATTAATATAAATATAATATGCTAACACATTGACACCTGAACCACCCGTAACCGCCCCTACCTCCCTTACTAAGCAAAATTTTGTCCCCAAACTTCTTCTATGGTTAAGAGATCAACAAACCAATCAGAATCCTTCGTTTGCAAAAATATTTCCATGGCTTTAGGGGGTACTAGAGGGGCATCATTCTATGCGTTCACACTAAATGATCAAATATTTGAAAATAAAACGGCCGACCTTCAAAATTTTTAAGTCAGATTTTTCGTTCCTTTGCGATCGAGTTAGACCTTGTGGAACTCATAATATAAAGTAGCAATGCTACAGAATACTCTGTTTGGAAAATAATGGACGTCAAAGTCTTAAAGGTGACAGAATAAACTCTCGAGTCAACGACACTACGGTTCTCTAAAGCGATGCGAATATTGTGGCTGTAAACCGAATACCGAACTTTCGGAATTCAAGCAGGGCCTAGCGACAATTTGACGACTCCATTGCCCGGTAAATATTACGTTTGACTAACAATGCGTTCAAAAAGTATTGTTTAATGTAAGATTTTGCGTCAAATCGTAGTACTTTCAGAATTTTCAGCATAACGCTACGCAATTTGGTGCTGTGAAGTCAACTAAACAACGATCTAAGTATGATGAGTTTTACGGCGTGGGCTTTGTGCGCGTAAGAAATTCGTACGTTTTTCGCTTATAACAGCAAATCAACAATTGTTTGGAATAAAACTGTCGTCCCGAAATATCTCTTGGTCATTTTCCTCTTGCTTCCTATTAATAGATACCGTGAAACTTGAGATTTCTTCGCACACGCAAAATTTGAATAATTCACTTTGAAATTTGATCCGCATGCCTATTTACACACACGCCAAAATATTTAATTAGCGATTTTAATCTCTCATCTCGATTTTTGAAGAAAAAATCAATCGCGGAACAAATAATCGCAGCAATGCGACAGATAAACTCCTTTGGGGTGGGCAAATATTTCCTTGGAGGGACAAATAATTGCAGCAATGCGACACAAAACCTGCAGGAGACAAAAAACTGCGATCACGATCGCCGACGCGAGATACGAAAATCGAAGGATATCGGAGAAGACCGAACTGAATTCCGAGCATTATCCGTAGGTTTCTATTGTTATGGACATACGTAAGGACTTACACTCTGGATAGCATTGTATCTACGATTTCACAGAAGTCCGTAGATACAAAAAGGAGTTAAGATCGGGGAACATCGGATCAAAATCGGCAGAGTTCGTTGTGGGCTCGGATTCTATTGTTACACTCACTCAGAAGGACAGCATAGTAGCTTACGCCTCTTTGGGCAGTATGCTACAAAAACTAATGAGAGACATAGAAATGTCCACACAAAGCAAAAACGTATCAAAGATTGCAGAAAAAAAATGTATTTAAGAGAGCAGAAAGGTATTTTTGTCAAGAAAGTGTTAGGAACGGTACTTTTCCCGCCTTAGAATTAGTCATAACTCAGCAACAAATATCGATCATCTCCAATCGCAAACATTTGTTCCAAGAAGATACGTTTATGGCATGTAACTTTGGCGGGTGGATTGTGTCAAAATTAGTAGTACCAAATTGAATGGCTCACTATTGAATTGCTCACCAAATAGGATGGGTCACTATTGAACGGTTCACTTTAAATTGAATGGATTTCTACCAAATTGCATTGCTCACCGCGCATTTAATGCTGGGCCTAACGCAAGGAGCCTGAGATATACTCGGCGCCAGCCTCTCGCAGGCCATATCTTTTAAGTTGCGCTCTCGCTAATAGCGGTCCCCTCGACTACCTGTCAAAAAAAAACGTTTTCTTTCATATTTTGCCCCTGAAAAGGATTTAGGACACATGTTTCAAAATCAGTCGCCACATGCTAAAATTGATTTTTGGCCAGATCATCCGTGTGGACAGCTATTATAAGTGAAAAGTTCACAGATTTTATTCAGCGCGCTGCGACTGCAATCATAAGGCTCACGTTATTTTCTCTAGCTGCAAGTTACAAGATGTATTCAATCAGTTTACAGACAAAATATGGAAACTTCGTAAATTGGGTAAAAAAAAAAAGAACATATCAGTGCATAGTTCATACATAAATATAGTCACCGATTGCTTTAACTCACCAGCTTTCATCCAACTATCATTTTAAAAATGTGTTTTGCTCGTGTCTGATTAAAAAATTCCTTATTATCTTATTTTGTGAAGCCTGATATGATAGGACAGGAAAAATCTTGAGTCTGTGAGCAACAACTAAGGATGTTTAGGCTGTGGAGCTCCTTCTCCGAGCCAGTTCTTAGTGCGTTGTCTCACTTCTTAAATGGTGAAGATCTTAAATCTCTTGCACTTACCTTTTGTTAAACCAATGGGTAAAGGTTATAACGCTCAAAACGTCCGCTTAGAAACTATTTACGGTGGTCAATTCACGTTATCAACTCAGCTGATAAAACTTAATTATCTTTTTAACTTTCCCCAACTACCCAGCACCACAGTTTCTCTAGAAAATCGCTCCCTTTATCCTCCTTGAATAAACGTATATGTCTATAAGCTTTTCTGTTTATTTGCTGAGAAGTGGAGATCTAGAATAATCGATGAATGTAAGCAATCACCTTTTGCATTGTTATCAAAGAAACCAAGTTAAGCATGATTTTCTAGACGACGGGATACCATAAAGAAAGTACCTCCCGAACAAAACGCCATTTTCTTTAGAGGTAACTAGTTTCCTTTTGTAACATAAGATCCTTTATTGAAATAAAATTAATACGATTTTGGTGGAAAAATAGGTTTTGATATCACCATGAGTTTTCAATTTGTATAACACCTTTACATGTATGAAATTCATATATTTGCACTGCGGTGAAGAAACTGATTTAAGAGATCCTCGCAGCTATGAACACGACTGAACTAGTAGTTGAAAATAGGACCTGAAAAAAATGTAATTTTATCTAAAATCGTTATTCATCAATGCGATGATTTATTTAGACCCAACATATTGACCAGCTCCCAGTTGGCTTGTTAGCTCAGTTGGTAGAGCGCTGCACCGGTATCGCAAAGGTCATGGGTTCATATCCCATCCGCGCCTGAATTTTTCAATATGTATAACACCTGTTAGTTATGCTGGTCAAAATCGTGATTAAAAAAAATTCAAACCAAAAACAAAACAAACCAAACAAAACAGAAAAAAAAATAATTGAAGCTCACTTTGAGGTCTTTAAAGAAAAGAAGCTACAAA